AAGAAGAAGTAACAGTGAGGAAAGGGCCTTGGACTATGGAAGAAGATTTGATCCTCTTTAATTACATCCTTAATCACGGTGAAGGTCTTTGGAACTCCGTCGCTAAAGCCTCTGGTATATGAATTAATGTCTTAATTAATCCTCTTTTTTTTTAGCTTTTTAAACTGTCTTAATTAATCCTTCTTACACTATATGTTTCTTTTTTAATATTTGTACAAATATACTTTGAGATAGTTGTGAATAACAGTGATAATACAATCACATGTTTTATTGGTTATATGTTTGTGACGATAATATATTTATATAATTTTTGTTTTCTTATAAAAGGTCTGAAGCGTACCGGAAAAAGTTGTCGGCTCCGGTGGCTGAACTATCTCCGACCAGATGTGCGGCGAGGAAACATAACCTCAGAAGAACAGCTTTTGATCATTCAACTTCATGCTAAGCTTGGGAACAGGTCTAAATTACTTCTTTTTTTTGCTAAATAGGGTCTAAATTACATAGTTTCGTGACTACATGCGTACGTACGTAAATTTAATAAGAAAAACTTACTTATGGTGTTAGTTAAACAATACTACTTATTACGTGTATTAGGTGGTCGAAGATTGCGAAGCATCTTCCAGGAAGAACGGACAACGAGATAAAGAATTTCTGGAGGACTAAGATTCAGAGACACATGAAAGTGTCGTCGTCGGAAAATATGAAGATTCATCATTGTTCCGCAAATTCACAGACCTCGGAGATGACTACGGCTGATCAAGGCAGCTCAAGCAAACCCTTCGACATGTCTGAGAGCTTCTCTCCGGCGACGACTACGACGTCATTTCACGCGATGGAACAATCCAACGACAATTACTGGAACGTTGAAGATCTCTGGCCCGTCCACTTGCTTAATGGTGATCACCATCAAGTAATTTAAATAATCTCATATAGTAGTGGGGAAATATAATGATTACACAAACGCTCGTGTTGATTTTTTGGATGGTATGTTCCTTGGTTAAAATTTCTCTTGCTGAAATGTTTGCTTCATTTACATAGTATGGTAGTACTTGTAATGTAATCATGACATCTTCAAAATATTACTCTTTTTGTTTCAATTCCGAGGTTTGCTTTTGTGTGTAGATTTTATCATTTTTTTTGGAAACTGTAAAAATTGACACGAACCAAATATATATTATGTATGGCTTATCTCTAGTCTCAAAGGACAGGGTTATAAACTGAAGATTACAAACAGGTTAAAATGTTTTAACAGACATCACAAGAAATGAAAGGACTGCACACTTATAGTTTATAGGTACAAAATATATAGAGTTTTTTGTACACACAAAAGCACAAAAGCAAACTGAAGATCAAAGAAGTGTTTACCATTATTGGAAGGAACATTGTTGTACTTTAGTCATCAGCAGGATCACTGGGAGTTTCATCGGCATTGCGTTTGATCGTGATGACTGGACACTCAGCATGTTTCACACAGAATGCACTCACAGTCCCGACAAAGACCCTGCGATGCAAGAGCGTAAAGAGGAACAAAACTCATAAGACTCTGACATTATTAAAACAAAGAGGTAACTCTTTCTCTCTACACAAACAACAACACTAGTAACTCTATGATTTCAGCCTTAAGTTTGATTACTTTTGGAACCGGCCAAGACCACGACTTCCCAAAACCAGGAAATCAGGTCGGACGCGAATCACTTCTTGGCATATCACATCCTTGGGATCACCTTTCTTAATCCAGGCCTCGCAACCAACCTACAACAAGTTTTACACAACTAGCATTTATTATAAACATCATAAGATACTGAACAAGAGGACAAGGGAAGGGACATAGAAGGATATAATAGCTCCATGAGGCTTAAAAGAGAGTGTTTTACCCCAATCTCATGACATTTTTTAACGAAAAACTCGAGAAGGTGAAGACCTTTTGCCTTGTTAGACTCTCTCAAATCTCGGAAATCCTCAGGAGAAGCATATACACTATCTACTTCATCAAAACCTGATTTTCCAATTCACAAACAAAACAACACACACAAAAACTTAGCAAAATCACATTTTTCTCACTCAAGTCGAGAAACAGAACAATACAACAAGTCTCCTCTTTTGCAAAATATCTCTCAACAATCAAAAAGCATACAAAGCAATTTTCTCAAACAATTGGGATCTTAATTGCAATTCCAACACAAAGCCTAACGAAATCTCTACGAACCCTCAAACCGATCTATACGAGCTCATCATTCAAATCTACGATCTTCAATTTCGCACACATTCAATGATAAATTAAGAAATGCGAAAAAGGGCCCACGAGAAGAACCGTCTTCGTCGACCACTTGGACATGGATCAATAGAATCTTGAAATCGGAAGTGTTTGATCGGACGATCTTCTCCAGAGTCCATTCGAATGCTCTTTTGCTACTAATCGAAGGGTGAGGGTAACCCTTTATCGTCGAATCGTTCACAGCCACCATCACTCGAGTCGGATCGCTCCCCATTTTCTACTTCAATTCTCTGAGTTCTCAGACGAAGAAGACGGAGTTTAGAGTAAGGACTTTTTCAGACTGAGAAAATAATTGTGCGCGCACGATATATATAGGCCAGCTAAAAGGCGCATGTTTTATTGGGCCCTACAATATGGCCCAATGATTAGCCCACATATACGTATATCTAAGATTTTGTGAGCTCTAAAGCATGCGATCGATGTAGGCACAAATAATCAGAAAAAATGAGATATCTCTAAGATGACATGTCATATATGTTTTTGGTTTTTAGTTGGGTTTATTCGGATTAAACAATTAAAATCAGCCCAATATCACGTTTTAGGTTGTGAAATTGAATTTTAACCCAGACAAATGACAAATTTTTTTTTTTTTCTTTCCACAAAAAACCCTAATCTCAACCAAATCGAAGGGTGAGGGTAACCCTTTACCGTCGAATCGTTCACACTCGAGTCGGCTCGCTCCCCATTTTTCACCCAAATTCGCCTCCTTCTCCTTCAATTCTCCAAATCTGTTTAACTTCTCAGACGAACAAGACGGAGTTTGGACAAGGACTTTGTCAGCTGTGCGCGCACGATATATATAATCCTGCTAAAATGCGCAGTCTTCTGTACGTAACTTTCCCAAACTACCCTTTCTGTCTAATCATGTGCAAGCCCTACAATATGGGCCCAACGAATAGCCCACATCTATTTTTTACAATATTTCCCTTTTTGTTAGTAAACTTTTTCTTTTTTTTTTTTATCAAATGTTAGTTAACGATTACAATTGTGGAATTTTATTTGCTACGCCAAAGAATTTCACAAAACATTTTTTTTTTTTTGTAATGGGAAATATATGCCTGATTAAATAATTAAAGTATTATTTATTTATTCAGTGATGAATTCCAGTGAAAGAGACTCTACCAAAGCCAAGGTGACCAATCTGATACAATTCCAACCAAACTCTCTCAGCTTCAACTCTCGCACTGATTCTCGTCTCATCTTCTCCTTTAAACGACGCCGTTTCCTCCTCTTCCTCTTCCTTCGTCAAGCTCCCGTCTCTCTCCACCACAAACCGGAAATCATCAATCTCTCCATCTCCTCCGCCGCAACATCCACCACTCTTCACCGTCTCCGACGACCTCCGGTGATGGTGGTGATGAAACCTATCATCGCGGTTGATTTTTTTCCTCCGCTTCTTGTTCCGACCACCACGGCCGATACATTTCCGACCTATCATCCACGGAACCTTAACCAAGGCAAGCGTGAGGAGGTTCACGACGGCACAAGGGCAACAGCAGAGCGCCACACAGTCGGCGATCGCCGCCGCCGCCCACGACGACCGGCACCTTTTCCCGGCGCATTTACCTCCCGGCGACGCTTTATCATCGGTTACATGGGACCCACTCTGGTCTTTACGTGAAACTCGATGCGGCTTTTGGTTTTCCTCTTCCATTTGTTAAAATGTTATATAATCCTACAAAAAAAAAGTAAAAAAGAAAAATATTACAAGGTGATAACTATATATACAGACGTTACATTACATTCATGATACAGCTATATGAATTCGTCGTATATACAGATTTTTGTCCATATTGGGTGTATGTAAATGTTTTTGATACGTAAAGAGAAAATAGTAAAAAGAGGGAGAGAGAGATATATAGGAAACAGCAACAAAGATCTTTCCCATGCATTTTTAACTTATTGACCAGAGAGTTTCAGGTGTATTCAAAACTCACTGACGCTCTCACTTTGGCGCGTGTTTCATTTACCGGTTTTTGTGTTGTAATTGAGATTGGTTTGATCCGGTTATTGACTGGTCTGGTTGGGTGTTGAATGGAAGGAGTTGAGTGAGCGCGTGGGGGATGGATCTGAAGCTTTTTTGTTTTGTAGGGAAAATATTTTTGTTTTTGAACGAATAAAGAAAGGTTTTTATTTAATCTCGGTAGAGTAATAATTTTTTCTTTCTTTGGCTATTTATGGTACGGTAGCTTTATTTTATTTTTATTGGCCTTATTGATTTCAAAACTAAAATCCCTACGCTTGCAATAAATTAAAAATACGGTTTTATTATTTTAAAAGGGTTAAATATCAGTGCCAGTGAGATAAGTTTCTAAAACAAAAAAAAAAAATATCAGTGGGATAACGTGGATGATAGTGGCGGGAGATCATATCTCACATGGGTTGCCGGGTCTAAGCATGGCCCAATTACGTGGCCCATTACAAAACTACAAGTAAATACGAAATAAATATTGTTAAAATTTTGGGGGTAAAGTATAATACAGGATCCTCTATATATTAGTAGAGGAGACACTAGGTAAAAATTTTAAATATCATCCAAAGAAAATTTTAATGAATTTTTAATGAAAACTATTAAAACTTCTTAATGACGTTATTGTGTAAATAATTAGACTAAATTTATATCATATATACAATATATAACTATTATACAAATATGAAAATAAGAAATATGTGATAATTAATATGGAAGATTTTATTTAAAGAATATAAAATATATGTGAGGATATCTTTTTTTAATGACTATTAGATTTTTTTTATATGCGTTAGAATATTCAAAAAAGAATTCATGATTTTTTTAATATATAGGAGAAATTAAAAATAACAAAGATATATCTCCAATATAAATAAATATATTTTATCTTACCAAATTTAATTTGCATTATACTTAGATAGAATGTAGAGAATTTTTTAGAATACCATTTTTTAAAAATGTCATCATTTTGAAATTTTCTTTAAAATGCCACTAATCCTCTATATATTAATTGAATAAACAATTGGTGAAAAAATCATGTGTATTTATTTAGTGAGAGTTTTAAGGAATATGTAATTTAAATTAACTAATGAAAACGTTTTAGTTAAAATTATATGTCATGGTGGAAATCTCTATATTTTTTTATTAATTTTATAACATAAACCCATTTATATACATTTTACAGAATTAACTTTAACTAAATGTAATATTTAGACTTACTATATCATCTTTTTTAAAAAAAAAATAATATATTAAAAAGCTTTTTATCATTATATTTCTAACAATATTATTTATTTGTAGATAATAACTACACTTATAAATATTTTTACATTTTATTATTAAAAACATATATTTTTTTGTTTGTTACGTCCGACAAATTTATATAAATCTAAAATTTATTTGATTTATCGCATAATTTACAATTTTACACAAATAATAAAACTTAATTTGATACTTCAAATAAATTGAAATAAATAACATTTGAATTAGTTTTAATATTTTTATGCAAAATTGATAAAACATATGATATTTAAACATGTTTAGTAAAAATTTAATTTTATTACATTTATGCATAATACATATCATTTTGTACGTTTAAAAATATTAGAATACAAATCTAAATACTAAGATCGATTAGAAAATATATTTAAATATTTAATCTCACGTTTGGCATGGGTTAAAATCTAGTAATATTGTTAACAAGCTTGTTAGAACAAAAAAGGGTCTGTAGACTCTAACACTAATACTAATCTCGTAGCAACTCCCTATGATTTTTAAACGACTATCTTTACTTGGAATTGTAATGATTTAAACGAATATCAGGAATAATTTGCTTTTTTATTTAAAGTGTTTTTCAAAACTACAAAGTAACCCATTTACCTTCCAATACTTTATGTTACGAAAAAAGCAAAAGTTATGAGTACGGCTGTCCCTTTTCACCTGTATAAGGTAAAAACTAAAAAGTACACAATTAAAGCCGAGTCAAAAACTCAAAGACTAATGTGTGTAGTATCTATATCATAATAATCATATATGTGTACAAACCGAATACAGTTTGTATATGTAGGGCTTAAGTAAACGGATTTACTCAGTATGTAAATAGAACTGTATTGTTTTTATCTATGATCACAACTAGCATTCTAAAATTATCAAATTTTACAGTTTTTGTTACTGTTAATTTATATCTAAACAACTTTATTTTAGTTTTTAATACATTGAAATGACAATCAAAACAGATAATTTTAAATAGAAAACTGCTAAGATGGTTTATTCAAGTCTTGATAAAAGAAAAAATACTGCTTTTTTGTTATTACAAAAATAAATTCTTATAAGAGATTACAGAGTATATATATATATGTTTTAAATCAAGAAAAAATAAATTAACTAAGAGAGCATTCCTTTCGATCAAAAAAAAAGAAAAAGAGAGCATTCCGAAATGAAAGACAAAGTACTATATAGAAGCAATATAGAAGATAAGTTTGGACCCAAAAAAAGATAGAAGGTGAGTAATGTGAACAAAAATGGAGAATAGTCAAATGGTTACATACCTTTGCTTCTTTTCTACTAAGTAATCTACTCAAAGGCCACAGATCCGTTTTGAAGGTATGAAGACATCAACATCAACGAAAACCCATCTCTCTGTTTTTAATTTTTGTTCTAATGAGGTTG